AAGATAACTATAAAGAGAGGAGATAAGAAAAGGCTCTGATTTAATGTTTTGCATCATCTTGTCTTGACTTGTCTGACTTTTGTTCCTTTTTCGACTTCCAAAAATTTGTCTTCACTTTATTTGCATATCAATCAATAGGTTGTGCTTATAAACCTGCATTTCCCCTCTGGTCTCTCAGTCACTGACGAAAGCTAGTGGATACTAGCTGAAACGTCTGACGTTTTCAAAATCATATCCAGTTGCTTGAGTAACTACTTTTTGGCGATTTAATGTTTTGTTTCTTACTTTAATGCAGTGATATGTGATGCTGGCTGTGTATATGTGATGTTCCTACTGAATCAAAACCATTTGTACAATGATTGAGTCAATATTTGAAAATGTAGGAACCTTGTTTTTTTAGGCCCGCCTTGTTTTTTTCGCCCGCTCGCATTATATTTGGAGTCTGCGGGGGATGTCATCCATAAAAATGACTTGCTGTGGCCTAATAGTGGGGAGGCCTGACGTTTAATCTCCATGTAACGATCAGGCGATGTTACAAGATTCACGTGGGCGTACATGCATGTACATTCAGCAGATGCCGACCAGTTTCCCAACAGTTTCACCACTAGAATAAGTGAAACTAGAATAAGGTGGAAGATCTTAAATCGTCCGATAAAGTAAGTGTGTGTCTTGCAAAATGATGTTGCTGCTCGTTTAGCAAAACTATTCTTCATTATACCCCCATACCAAACAGTTACTCAAGCAACTGGATATGATTTTGAACTGTTTTTTGGCGTATCTCATTACCTTAATGTCTAAACTTCATCGACATACCATATTACTACGGGGGTTAAAAATACATAAATATCTATATTTCCTTAGTTTAACATCTGATGTCTTTAAATGTCGATGAGCCTACAATCAACATATAGCTGAACAACAAACAGTGCTACAGATACTGCACCGACTTTTGAGAAGGTCCCTGGCTGATCTATGATAGCAGTGGTGAACCTATTTTTCACTCGGCTCTAAACTCAACAAGACCTTTGGAGCTGATCCCTAATTGATAGTTAATGAGTATCAAAGGGTGGCTGATCATGATTGATAGGACACAAAATCTAGGGGAGCCCTGATTGATCTACTCTCCAATCAGAAGTTGATGAGGGGTGGTGGTGGGTGGAAGATAGTTACCTTTTTATATATGGCCATTTTTTGGACGAACTGGATCTCTGGCGAATGGATATTGCCTGGCCAATTTTTAAACTGTCTTTTTGCCACCCCAGGATCTGCTTGGAGATTGAGACTGATCAAACATATTGGGCCACAGTTTTTCAAAATGATATTGGTTTCCGTCAAGGCACGAAATTACGAGAAGGTCCCATAATACAAAATTACGGGATTGCCTTCCAAATGAATATCATGAAGAGTAACGCCACGAGCTATGAGACGATCCCTGCCCGGGTCCAATCACAAGTACAGGACCGTTAGTACCCGGATGGATGACGTAACGTAATCGCAAGCAGCCATAACCATCAAGACATCTCAGGTTTATTTTTGATTTCCTTCCATCATATTGTCATATCGACCCGGTAGAAAACATTCCATCTTAACCAGTATTGATTTTTGTAATGCCGTTATTGAAAAACATATCTATTATCCGTTTTGATATTCCTTCTGCGTATGATGAAGTGGAATTTGATCACTGGTCTAGATTGCGTTTAATTTGCATATATTTTGCATATTCAGATATTCCCAGGGCACCCTTGTAATGGGTACGTTACTTACGTTACAAGATGGATGTTCTGACACTTTGCGTTCATACGCTTTATATGAAAAACGTTATGTCTCCTTATAGACACCGCCTAGCGGAATCAGAAATAAGTGTAGACTACATACCTTACCTACATATCTTCTACATACCCTACACGTATGGTGGACAGTAGCCTGGGTGCCATCCGAATTTCTAACAGCTACCCCGAAAAATTTTTTAGTCCAACCAAAATGATAGCCTTGGTACCATCCTGGTTAGTTTACGTCTGCTCCCAGAGTCGCTACCACTACTATCATAAGCTATACAGCTAGGGCAGCTACTAGTATGTAGTTGAATGAATAAATGCGCAATGAATGAATGAATTAACACTTTATTGTTGTCGTTGCGTTACAGTAAAAGTAACAGTGTAGTGTTGACAGTTTCTTGCTAGCTTTAAATATGAAACTGTTTCTTCTGATGATCAACAGCATTTTAATTTGTATACACACTGCCAAGCGTTTTAAGCTATAGCTGAAGCTAATAAAAGTGAAACACTTGAAATCGCAAACATATGCGGCATAAAACACAATGGGGGCCTTTGCCATACATTTAATGCTCCTTTGAGTTCGGTTATGTTATGAAGCGTGCGTAGCAATACGTGTATATGATATCATGGAAGTTCATCTGTGTTGGTAGTTACATGTTTAAAGTTAAAACTTTGGGTCCAACACAAAAGTTCTCTCACCTTAGTAGAGCTTTTGAACAGTCACTCTGGTCTTCCTCAGTAGACTGACTTCAAAGAAGCCACGTGACAAGCCTCACTGGGTCAGTTTACCAGAGTGACTGGTCGAAAGCTCTAGGTGAGAGAACGTCTTTGTGTTGGACCAAAAGTTTTAACTTTAAACATATGTGTATGATGTCTCGCCATCCTTCTGTCGTCACTGCAAACAAGGCCCCTCACACAGCAATCTGCAGGAGTGGAACACAGTAATGTATTTCAGTATCAACGGGGATTCATGTATATCACATTAGACATAGTTGAAAAGCTGGGAAACGATTTACAGAATGAAGAAAGAACCCAGTTTGGACAATGCAGACAAACAATTGTCTCCAAGCAGATCCTAGGGTCGTCGGTAAAAATTGAGTATCAAATTTGCCAGGCAGGGTCCATACGCGACGTGGGTAGCGACAAAAAAACGGGTCATACATAAAAAACTAACGATCATTCCCCACAACCTCTGCTTGGAGAGTAGACAAAAACGATGTCGCGTCTAATTTTCCCTGGCTTGGTAGAAAATGCCACGATATGCAGAGTTAAAGGAAGAAATGGATTCAATAATCATAGAAACCGCAAGTTGCACACGTACCACTCTTTCATGGCCGCAGAAGTCGGTGTGGATCAGGTTTTTTTCCAAAGCTTGGCGAGACCACCTGGAGGTTTCATCGGATCCGCTTCATTATTCACCTGGGGAGCATCTGTGGAAGCATGAACAATTGGTGTTATAATCGTGAATTCGTGTGGCAAAGCGGTAGCGTGTTCGGCTCACAACCAAGAGGGCGAGGGTTCGAATCCTGCCCGATGCTACCGATCTTGTGCCCAACAACCAGGCCGGCTACATTGTCTATATGCAATCAGAAAATAGCACATAAAAGATCCCAAAGACCACGAAGACGAGGTCGAGGGTTCGAATCCTGCCCGATGCTACCGATCTTGTGCCCTTCAACCAGGCCGGCTATGTTGTCTATCTGCAATCAGAAAATAGCACATAAAAGCTCCCAAAGACCACGAAGACCCCCCCAAACCCACCCGTTTTGGCATGCTATGGAGGAGGGCCTGAAAGGGGGTGGGGTGTCCCGACAACGCTCTACGCTGAATTCGGAAACTTCTCGATTACGCTTTACGATAAATCTTAAGTGGCTACAACGCATTACGTAGAATTAAAATGGCGAATACGCTCAACGCAAAATGCGAAGAGCGGTCCGTCTACGCTCTACGTAGAATTTAAACGGCCGATTACGCTCTACGGAAAAGAGCTTGCCGGCCCCCATGGAGGCTAACACATTCTACAGTACCTGCTGCCAGGTCTCGAGGCTCGCGCCCACCGACGAAGCCGCGGGGGTCCGTGTCGGGGGGCCGGGCATCACCGGCACCGTGCACTCTCGCTATGCGCCCGAAGCCGCCGAAGCCGCCGCCCTGGCCATCAGCGTCGTCCAGCATCACGGCCACCAAGACAACCAACACCAGCATGAGTGTCAGGGTTCCCTTCATCTTTGCTCTGCACGAGTTTCAGACACCGACAGTAGAAAATAAAGATTGTGCTCTGGTCTAAGTTGTGTCAGTTCACCTTCAGGCAACCTTAGGCAAGTGCGCAGCACCAATTATTGTATGCGTACGTCTTTGTGTAGATAGTCTTTGCTTACACCCGAGCAGAAATTCCCGTGGTCGACTGCGGCTGAGATTCAATGGCACATTCAACGTCGCGTCGGCCTGGAGGGTATCAGCTACATACCATAACAACAAGCTGTCAAGCTGTGTGTGGACTTGGCGTTATGAATGCGGTCAGTGACTTTTGTTGGATGAATCGAAGTTACCCGAGAGCTGTGTAAGTGGCCCTTTATGATGATTACAATGCAAAACGGGACACAGAAACCCTTTGCTGAAATTTAAAGCCAGTCTTTTGTTTCCTTCTTGAAAACCAAGTCTACGTCAATTGTACACGAGTGCAACACTGTAGATCACAACATCATGAAATGTGGAGGAAGTATTCAAGTTGTTCGTCGCCCATATCTTTTGTTCTCGACGTAAAGAAAGACTGACAGTGCTCAGCAATGCATACAATACGCGTTTATCCATCCTCAAGAGTGATCAAGGGTGTTTTGTGGCAGCGACTGTGGGAGCGGACGTAATTTTAACTAACTAACCAGGATGGTACCCAGGCTAGTCTAATGGGTGATTTGGAAGGAAATCTAAGTACGGGTCTGTATGAATTTGCTTCCTGTAGATTCTTACTCTTGAGTAAGCCTTGCCTAACTGTATGACAGAAAAAGCCTTCTTTGCTAATTCTTCTAGTCTAGTATTCGCTGAAATGGAATATAATATTAATATGGCAGCAAAGTATTTGAAGAAAAATCATATTCAACGCAACAATCGTACGTCAAAGGTGCTAAAGAAGGTGTTTAAAAAATCAACTGTTATACCGCGACACTATTGAGAAATTAAATCAGACACAACGCGACCAACTGTCATACCGCGACACTGTTGAGTAATCAAATCCTTCACATCTGACTCTTCCACCTTTGACCTCCGCCCTGGCGCCAAATTTGCGCGCCATTTCCACCAATGCTTTGTCAGGCAGAACCCAGCGTCTGTGTCGGCGAACCCGCAAAAAAGATCCCAAAACTCGACATGCCTTCCAACAAGATTCTTCTCCGTTTCGCCAAGATGACAGAGAACGCCTTCGCGCCGACCAGAGGGTCTATACAGGCGGCTGGGTACGACTTGTACAGGTAAATATCCGGGTTTGTGTAGAAGTGCCCCCCTCCCCATTGGCGCCAAATCTTGGCCATTGTTGATTGCAAAAATTATGCATTTAATATGCACAGATTAAGTTTTCGAGGGAAAGGACGACTTCAAGTTAAGTTAGGATTGTTATCTTCTTTGGGGTCACACAGTCTCAGACTCTCAGTACATGTTACTCCAAGCCTAAGTTAGTACCTGTAGTAGTACATGTAGTACCACGCAGATACCTGCAGATATGAAGACAGGATTCTTGACAATAATTTTTTAAACCCGCATGCTTTTATGTGCAGCATACAAATTATTTTTAACCTCCTTGGTGTAAAATGTTTAATATCGAAGTTTGTATGATTTGTGTAGTATAACTCTTACAAATGTGTAAGCTTAATGCCATGATTATTAAAATAAAATAACAAAAAAAAAGTTTCGACTGACGATCTGTATTTTTTTTAATTGATCATCATATACTAATACTCACACCTAAGATATTCAGGTGTTCAAGACATTTCTTACACTTACAGAATTTGCAGTCTTGTACATAACGTACAATAATGAATTGCATTTTCTCCCCACCCCTACAGTGCCTATGACTACACCATCCCAGCACAGGGCAAGGTTCTAGCCAAGACTGACATCCAGATCGCACTACCTGAAGGCTGCTATGGCAGAGTGGGTAAGTATATCTACTGTGATACTCGTGTGTCATGTTTTATAGACCAATGTCTGGGGGCATGGTATGGGTTGTCAAAGCCCAACTCTGGATGAAATTAACCTCCACCAGACCTTTCTACGGGAATACGGATCGTAGAATTCGGCAAAAAGGAGAGTAAAATTGGCCAGGCGAGTCCGGCCGCGGGGAGGTAGTTTCTTTCCCTCCGAAGCGGCCAGTCAAACTACAAGGCGGCCAAACTCCCTGGCAAATATTCTCCTATATATAGCCAGTGTAGTAACTCAAGGGTGGAATGAGGAAAGTTGTGTAACATGCTTTAACCAAGGACACAACATCTAGCCAGGAATGCCAGGAATTAAAACCAAACCATCTGATTACTATATTAAAATTCATTGTATTTACATGGAAGTGCCTATGATTTTATGGTAAGGTCCCTATGATTCAGAAGCTCTCTGCATAGGCACATACAAATATATTTAGATGTACAGTATTAGGCCCTGGTACAATGATGTCTCACTACATGATACTAACATTTACAAATGGTCCTTTTTCTATTTCACAGCTCCTCGATCTGGCCTGGCACACAAAAACTTCATAGATGTCGGAGGTGAGTCTGTGTTTTTGATCCACCCTAAATTCAGATGGTCCACTAAATGGACTATCTGAATTTATGCTATGCTATCAGAAAGGAATAAGTCCAAATGGACTCCATTTGGACTTTTTCCTTTCTGATATGACCACTGTGTGATATGACATAGGCTTGGTTACTTACCCCCTCTGGTGGTTCAGACAAGAACTGCACAAGTAAGAGGAATGCATCCAACTCATTATGTAGGGAAAAATGGAAAGAAGTAGCATGTAGATGTTTATAATGACTTCTACAGTCTTGCTGATAGCACAATGTAGCAATGTCATGATGTTATATACCTTTATAGAAGAAAGAAGCAGGGTGAGTAGCATGTATGTGTTTATTATAATAACTTCTGAAGAATTTTGCTGATTTTGAATATTTTCCCTGATTTCCAGCTGGTGTGATTGACAGGGATTACCGTGGCAACGTGGGCGTCATCATGTTCAACTTCGGCAAGGAAGAGTTCAAAGGTCAGTACAAATAAAACAAAATTAAAAAAAAAAAATTGTATCCAGCTAAGCCTTATCGAATACTGTTTCACACCATGGCTAATCCCTGGTGATGTCCCCTTCTAAACCTTCTTGAAATGTTCTCAATTTGACGAAGAAAAGGATGGTGTATCCATTTAGAAATCAACAACACATCAAATTGCTGCTAGTATGGATTTCTTGGTCTAGCATCCCAAGTAGTCTTGTTCACAGAGTCCTGTACTTTCTGCTTCTTGTTGTAACTGCTTTTTTCCATAAGTAGCCTAGTAAATAGACAATAAAAATGACCAGTGACTTTGATAGGCTGATTGTGGTGTGTTTATACATGTATTGTTAACTGGATGTATAATACTATTCCTCTAACATATTTCCCTGTCTTCACAGTGAACAAAGGAGACCGGATAGCCCAGCTGATCTGTGAACAGATCTTTATGCCAGACCTGGTGGAGGAACAGGTTGGTACATACTCAAAACACCTGTTGTGTCCAGAACTGTGTGTGTTTTCCAGGATTTGTGATGAATTATAGGTACCATTCTTTATGAATGAAGGAATGAATAAATGATTTTATTGCGTAACAACTGCATTGGTGACAATGTATGGAGATGTAACATCTGTGTCCATAATATCATTAGGGTCTATAATATCGCCACCTTGAGAAACGGTGTGCTTAAAGATATTTTTACTGCAACATACTTTTGGTATGCACTCCTTCACACATCAAATGTACATACCTAGGGTATGTTGCAGTAAAAATGTCTTTAAGCACACTTTTTCTCAAGGTGGCGATATTATGGACCCTGGTGATATTATGGACACAGATGTTACAGATTATAAAAATTATGATTTAGTTCTATTGTTGGGCTATTGTAAGTACATGTAATACATTACGTTCTTGAACAAAATCTACAGTAATTACTAAAAGGAGTAATTGCAAGCATTATGTTATAGCCAATGCCATATTATAATGTTCACTGTCTCCCAGGATTGTATAACAGCTGTTAAGACCATTGTATTTGGATTGAAATGTTGAGGTAAAGATTTTTTACAACTGTTAAATTTGTCTTTTTTTTTGCTACAGAGCCTTGATGAAACAGAGAGAGGAGAAGGAGGGTTTGGTTCCACTGGGGTTGCGGCAAAGTGAAGAATAAACAGAACAGGAGCTGCACTAGATATAATATTTTGTACTACATCAGACTAGGAACATATGTCTCCCATATAAACGTGAACTTTTTACTAGATACTATCAGGATTACCTCATGTTCTTGCCTATGACAGTGGTGTATGCATATGTGTTTCAAAGTATAAAGTATACCTGTGGAAGTTTTGACTCACAGTATGGGAGGTGTTGGCATTAATCAATGACATACACATGTACATGTATCACTGGTTTTAATGACCAAATAAAACAACCATTTTCTTTGTTGATATAATATCTGTTTATTTTGGTTAATATAAAATACTACACAGTGTGTATGCAAAAGTTCAGAAGTAAGGTTGAAAATGCAATTTTGAACACCTTGAACTTACAAAAACTGCTGCAATACAACACACCAAGGAGGTTTAAAATCAAGCTACACATAGGAAATAAGTTGGAAAATTTGAAATAAGTCATTCAATGTTTTGCAAATTTCCCTAATGGAATTTTCTACAACCCCAATTAAATTCCTAAATGCTAAATATTTTAGTGAGAAATGCTCACTACCCCCTTTGTTACTCCGTGAAGGAGGTCAGGACCTCCGGACGGAGTGTTGTAATCGGCTGATTTTTCATGTTCGCAGTCAAAACACTGGGTTCTCTTCGTGTAATCGGCACGCTATTTTATACGCCGTCTGCGGGCATGCCCGTGTTGATGCACGAATGTGTATTTTTGCCGTTGCTGCTTTCGCGGTCAATGTAATATCGCAGACGCACCCCTACAATTACGAGGCGAATTGGAACGGTCCAGAAAAACGCGTTGTTTGGAATAGCGGAGGGGGAGGTAAAAGTTCATGCAGATACGGGGTGGTTTTTATAAGTGGTTCCAGATGTTTTTGCCCATGGTTAAGAGATGCCAAGTTTTTTGGAAGATGTTCGCAGCCAAAACGCATTCTGCCGTACGTCGCATATCTGTGTAATTTCGCATGTGGTGTTGCATTATGTCCGGGATGATGCACGTCTTTTTATTTTTACCGTAGCTGTTTTGATATTGGAGTAAATGGTTATTTTCGAAACATCCCTACTTTTACAATCCTGTGGAATAGACCGTAGGTTTAGGCAGTTGTCTGGTAGCAGAGGTACTGTAAGCAGATATCCTGGTTATCTGGCCGGCGGTAGTAACACTCGCGGTGCTTACCGCCACTGTTGCTGGAATTTGGCTTGTTCCAGGCGCGCTTAATTAGGTACAGGCACCGTAAGACGGTGGGGCTGTCTTTGTTACTAGACACGACCATGATAGTCCGATCTTTATGTGAATGCAATGATTGTGTGTGTGTAATTAAAATGAAGTTAGAACTTGAAGCACAGTATCTTTACACGCCCTGGGAGCAGTAATGGATTTAGCTCTTTGTATGTTTTATGCTTGTGACGCGCCCTCATTGTATTAACCGTTGCCTAATTATAATGTCTGCACAGTAGGTCTGGCGTTGACGCTTGGGATTTTGTTGAAATATATAAAACTTCACGGAGAATTGTCGCCTATGGCTTCTTGTTTTTTGTTTTGCTTGAAAGTTGAAGCATGCAAATAACACAAACTAGGAAGGTCAGTTTGATTTATTGTGGCTTTACATAATTTTTGCAGGATCCTTCCATCAAGCCACCAGGAAAAGAAATTGAATACCACTTTCAAAACAACCTGAAAACAGTTGCCGACTGACTAAATATAATTTTGCACATGAATTTTTAGAATTGAATTGCACCTAAAATTTTTGCCAATGTGCAATTTTGCACGTACCTGAAAAAAAAGTATTTCGAGTCCTGCTTATAAATTTAAGGCTTCCACATTGCTAAAATACCTACGTCCTTGAAAAGAATATGAAGAAAAGTGAAAGTGTAAACACAGAGGTCAGGGGTCACGTCTCGGGGGAACTCCCTTACCCAGCATGCCGCGCGGTTTGAACAGGACGAAAATGGCGGAATCACCGAGGTGTGGTGACGTGGGGAGAAAATTTTCCGGAATTTCGCCCGGATTTTTACTGAATCTGAGCTTCTAACCGGACGGAAAAATCGGTGAAAAGGTAAGAAAGAACATAATGTATTTAAATTCTCATTTGCGGTACGCTAACATTTTAGAAACTAGTCCGAAAATGCCTTAAGGTATTGCACCTTTTTGGCCGGGTAACCTTAACGTTATGTAGATTACAACAACAACATTTACGAATAATTTTCTTTCCCTCCTTTAGACACGCTGTTTGCATATATTTATCCATCCAAATTTTGCCTCGTCTTTTTTTAGTAATCAGGAAATATTTAAGACACAGAACGTAGGTTTTAGACCAAAATTCTTGGTTCGATAGCTCAAAACAGGTTGCACCACATAGCTAAGTATATATGGAGGATTTCCAAATAATCTGATTTAGAATTCAATGTAGATCTCCACAATATAACAGGCATTCTCGCATCTAGAATTATCGTAGATATCGTTTTCTTCTTCAATATATCCAGTTGATAATATTCATGGTATCGATGTTACGATACAGGTATATTGTAGCCTGGATGCCACACTGTTTCCAGGGCCTACACAGGCTAGCTCATCGGCTAACAAGCCCCGAGGAAATTTTACTATACTAGATTCTATAACAATATGTTAATGTTAAATTATGGAAATCCAGATTAAATTATAATTTACAATGTGAAAAATCAAATGTTGACACGGCTTGAAATCCTTTTTTCTTTCACCTTCAATATTGATGAATTATTATTATTATGATATGAATATCAATAATTTTTAGCAAGCACTAATATTTTGGAGCATTTGAACCTGTAAACTGCTAATATATTTTTCAGCAATTTTTAGAAACAATTGCAGATTGCAGTTGGAAATACTTGACGACAATGTATACTAGGGCATCAAAACACATATCGACACTTGACCCACATCATGTTTAGAATAACAAAAATGTCAGACTGTTCAGAATCAGAGTGTAGAATGGCCAGTCTGTTTGTCCCAGGGGGACAGAGCTCAATAATGTCTGCTATGGGCATTCAGACTCAGTAATGTTATATAATAATGATATGCACTAACATGTGCAATATACATAAATGTACATTTGTTGTACATGTACACATTTTGCGACCACGGTTACGAGACAGGAGGACCATTAACTATCTCTGGTTGTCCTGTTCTTCCCACACACAACAAGTATAAAATACCACTTCAGGTTTGCCTCCAAATAATGTAAGTTATTTAGCCAGCGACATTAGGAAACTATGGAGGATGGCACCCAAGCTAGCAAACATTATACATACATGTGTATGTACAGAAAGGATGGCACCCAGGCTATTTGTATGCAGCATCAGTATGATGTGTTCCCCCGGGATCACAGTTACGATTCTTTTTGTCCCATTCTTATGATCATATTTTCACTTGTGTTACATGTGACTGTTAAACCGAAATTAGGGTTTTCTATAGTCTTTGTGAAAGGAAAACATTAGAACTGTTTTGGTACATTTGTATGCTGCATCAGTATGATGTGTTCCCCCGGGATCAGGGTTAGGAGACAGGAGGCAGGGTAATGGAATTAGTCGCTGATTCCTGCTCCAACAGTCCTTACATGGGCATGTGTGAGAGCATGTCGGCAGAACGTACTTCACCTGCATGAAACCAGTATTGTGCCGAATGGAAGCAGGCTCCGAGGGCGAAATGGAACCTTGTCTTAGTGACTGGTTGTAGGGCCCTTTGCATATTTATGTTATTACTAGTAAATGGAAAAAACTACAATGACCACGCATCGATTTTCAAATGTTGTGTATGTGTGACTGTCAGAGTTCCGCTATATTATTTTTTCAAGAATATCAGCATCAAGATAAACATTGGGAGGAGCTAATTTTTCCAGTATTCATTGAAACATCCTGACATTGCTTTTAATGTAAAAACCTATATATATTTGGCTACCAATTCTCTATTGTTTACATGGTTAGGCAGTTGGGAGAAGGTTAGATATATTCTAGACTACCATTATTGGTTAGATGGTTAAACACAATGTGAGATTATATATCAGAATAGAATCTCATGTCTTCCTGCCTGTGATTGGTTACCAAGACAGTCATGAGCAGGTAGCAGCGAATGGGAGTCCTCGTTACAACTCCCATCACATTGCCAAGCATAACGCCCCGCATGTCGTGACCTGACCATGATGACAGATAGACAGAGTTGTGATGATGTTAAATTATTCATCTGCAAAATCTGCCACTAATGACTGGTATAATGGCAGGAACCTTCAGTGTAGCCTATCTAGTCAGCTTGTAAAAATGTTTATCAGTTTGATTTGAAAGGCTAAACCTCAACTCTACATTTGTACATGTATTTTCCATGAAAAGCCCCAATGAAGGGCCTTCACAGCATGCCAAAAACTGGGGGTTTGGGGGTCTTCAGGGTCTTTGGGAGCTTTTACGTGCTATTTTCTGATTGCATATAGACAACATAGCTGGCCTGGTTGAATTAGCTGGTTGGGAAGATGCACTTTAAGTTGAGAGGATCAGCCATTCTGTGTATTTGTAGCAGAAATGTTAAGTCAACCCAACATGTTCATTTTGTTACTTAATGTAGTAAAGTATCCTACTAGTAGTATTTATGTGAAATATATGGTCTTAAGCCTCTCCATATATGTGTAGCAGAAATACAAATTAAAGACCTTGAAAGAAAACATTGATTTTTCCAGTACCCATGTAATACAAGTTACTGTATTGGAGAATGACTTAATTCAAAACGATTGATTTAAGTCTAGCTCAGTCAACCCAGCATTTTCTGATTTCTAGTACTGTAGTAGAAACACTCGTAAACTTGAAAGAAATAATTGATTTTCCCCACAAAACTGTGGCAGTGTAGTGAGAAATTCAGAATGATGTCAGTCAGCCCACATGATATATATAGTACATAGTAAAGTTTCATGCAAACTTGAGAGAATTTTAGATTGATTTTTGTGCATAAAACTCTGCCAGTGTGAATACATTTTGTAGAATGATGTCAGTCAGCCCACACATACATACATGGTCTTGTGTGTTCTGTGAAAAGCCCTGATGAAGGCAGCTTATTGTGGAAATGTTACTACATCAGGTTTGGGAAGATTCATTTCAACTTGAGAAGACCGTTAGCTTTAAAGAAATAATTGATTTTCCCCATATAACTGTGGCAGTGTATGGTAGAATGACGTCAGCCAGCCCACACATACATGTCTTGGCTTTAGTTCAAGTGCACTGACGTAGGCGGAACTCACATGATCGGTTTCA